GGGGGGGGGGGGGGGGGGGGGGGGGGGGGGGGGGGGGGGGGGGGGGGGGGGGGGGGTCAGGGCGACAGTTTACGTGTAACGTTTCCACACGAAAAAGGAGGTTAGCTTCAAAAAATCTGTGGGTGGGTGGGCTGCTGTGCCGCATGGTACAGAGGAGTCGATCCCATTCCCTCTCCCCATGCTCGCCGGAACCACCCGGTGCAACGATCAGGAAGCTAGCTATCAACGGTCCTGCAAACAACACCAGTCCATTGGTCCCGTTTGACTCCGGAAGAACATTGTGGCACCGGTGTGTTAGAAGCGGCCACTGCTGTACAACGTGGTTGCGGCATGCTGCTACTTTCATCGTGTGCACGGGATACATTACTTGGACCGGTGTTATTACACACTCACTCACAGCAGTGTCTCCTCGTGTCTCCTCGATCTTAGTTCTACGGGGATGCTGGCGGGTGCTATCGTCTTTCGGTGCCCCCCTTTCGTGTGTGTGAACGTGAAGTGTACCCCTCAAGCTTCTTCTCTCTCTTCCCTCACACTCAATCAATTTTGAAGATATGGGTGGCACTCAAGCACCTTTTCGGACCCGTTGATGACAAAGTAGCCGCCCTGGTCGTAGATGCACTCCCCCAGCTCGGTCAGCTCCTTGTCCGTCCGGTTCACCTTTTCGAGTTCGAGTGTGTGTGGAACGAAGGGGTTTCAACGAGAGGAAAAAAATAAGAGGCGGTTTTGAAAAGTTGCAGTCAGGCGTTTCTGAACAAGTGCACGAAGAAAAAAGGCAACGCCGCAGCTCGAGCTACTGAGAAGAACAAGCGATACCACTACTGTCATCTACCAGTCGAGGACAAACGTGGGAGAAAAACGTCGGAAGGCTGGAGGGGGGGGCTAAGGAAACCAGTATTGGAAGAAAACACGGGTAGATAAGTAAAGAAAAACAACACAAACAATAATCAGATGGTGACAACAAGGCGCTGACGTTGCAATAAAAGAGCAATTCCCGCCGCAAGCAGCAGCTTTTCTGATACCCCTCCCGAAACAGAAAATCCCGCCAACACCCAAGACACGCGTCAAGACATTCTTTCACCAAAGTTGACGCGTGGCCCCCAGCAAAACATCCCAGCAATATCGAGACCCACGACAACACAAGTACGAGACAACCAACATAGCCGCCCCAATCTCCATACAAATGAAACCCCATGCACACTCGCAAAATGCCATCAAACAACAATCTTCCCCCCTCCCCCAGTGCTCCGGCCTCTCGGGGACGCGTTGTCAATGGTGTAACGACTACGGCATGCACGGCCATGAACACCCCCCCCCCGGTCTCTCACCAGCACGCAGAAGCTGCTCCGGAGCATGATGGGCACCCACCCCAGGAACTCCTTGGGGTTCTCCCTCTCCTCCTCCGCCTCCAGCCCTTCCCCTTCCTCCTGAGAGCGGTCGCCCACGTCTGCCTCGTAGGTCTTGCACGAGATGTCGCAGTACAAGGGGGAGTTGTACGTGAGGTTCCGGAGCCTAGCCTCGTGCGGGAACATGCTCGTCAGCGACCTGTGGAAGCAGTAGTAGCATCGGCAGCGGCAGCAGCAGCGGCGGCGGCGGCGGCGGCAGCGGCAGAGCGGCGGCAGGGTAATTGTTTTATTGCACTCTTGATGTGATCGTACAGAAGGCATTGCTGTGTTGGGTGTCTCGCATATGCGACACCAGATGGGGGGAATAGGGTATAGAGGTAGAGTAGAGTAAGGAGATTGCACCGGAGGACGAACGGCACCGCGTTCGGGGGGGTACTCTTCTAACAAAAGAACAGCGAAACGCTAGGATAATATCTCGATCGATGCCTCATAGTTTCAAGATGGCTTCCAAAGCAAGCCTCTCACGAAAATGCCGAACGCACACCAAGACGCGCGAGCAAGCAGCCGAACGGCCGTGGTGTGCGAAACTCTGATATCTTTAGGCGGCCTTCTTGGGAACTCGAGAGCACAAACACCCGGCATCCGGGATTACCAATTCCTTGTAAAACCAGGCTTCCCCAAACAAAGGCGTAAGAGATCACCACCGCCAGACGAGCCCCTAGCCACGTTGCAGCGCACACCAAAACAAGTCTCAAGGTATGCACATACGATACACCGTAATTGTAGATACCAACACGAGGATGCCCTTCGGAATGAGAGCTTATGAGAGCACAGCAGTAGGGTCATCAAGGGGCGATGCAAGATGACACAACAAAGCTCGAAAGGCTGCCTACCAGCTACTGGGACGTTGAACCAAGCTGTCGTGTTCAGCCTCGAACAGCCCAGCCAACCACCCCCGACCCAAAAAGGACCCAAAAAGAAAAAAACTTCATTTTTTTCACGAAGCAGTCTTCTACAAGGGAGAGGAAAACAAAACGGACGTACCCGTCCTTCTCTCGTGCGGTGGGCTTGGCCAGGTAGACCTGTCCGAAGTTGATCTGGAACGTTCTTCGGACCGTGTCCTGCCCCGGCATGTACTGCAGCTCCGGCGTGATCTTGATCTCCCCAGCGCTGCTCACCAGCTCATGCATCGTGCTTTGTAGGAACTGTTGCCGCGGAATACCAAAAGTGGGCAACGGTTTACGACAAGGAAAGGATTAACGGAGCGGGGGGGGTGGGGGGGCAGATGAATGTCGAGCGGGACAACGCGGTGGGTAGCCTAAACAAAAATGAAAACCAGAATCGCGAGATTGATGTGATGGATCGTGTGACTGGATCATGGCGACGTGCTCAGGACAAGAGACGGGGGGAGAACGAATCTCCGGTCAAGTCGGCGTGGCACGTGGTAAAGCAAAAGACACAATTGAATACCCTCTCCCTCTCCCTCCCTCACCTACCCTTCCCCCCCCCCCAAAGCGTTGTGGGAGGGAGTAGTCCAAAAGACTAACGAAGATTTTGAGGGGGGGATGAAGCAAATGTGGGTAGGAATTCAAGGGATAGTGGGCAAGACAAGAGGGGGAGACACGGGAATAGCGACACTACGATCTGCCGAGGGTAAGATGGTGAGCAGTTCTAGAGGAAAGCGGGAAGTACTAGAAGAGCACTACCGCAAACTTGGGACACCCACCACCAACGACAACTTCGACTCGGAGTTTGAGAACGAAATCAACTCGTGGGCAGAGGAAAACGTTGAAAGATCTCGGAGGGAATGTAGTGATGTAGGCGGGTTGCAGGGAGAGTTCACACGAGAAGAGGTAGAGGACTGTGTAGCGAAACTCAAGAATAGAAAAGCGGCAGGGGCTGATGGAATTGTGAATGAGCTTTTGAAACAGGGGGGGG